GAAAGGTTACCCTGGAGACAAGGTTCTTGTTTTCCCAGCTTTGCCCCTTGGTAGGCATCTGGGGCTTCCTGCCCTGGTGAGTTTCTGTACCTGGCCCATCTAACAGCGAGTTTGATCTCCACTGATTTCACCCGATTGTCTAGTTTTACAGGCGACATGAGCAGAGAGTCACACCTTGGCCCCATGTCCTTGAGTTTTGATGCTCTTAGAATTGCCCCACCTTGTCTGGTGAGCCTCTCTTCATCACAGCGGAGCATAGACTCTCCCCAACGTTTGCCCCAGAGTCCCCGGAAGGCTCAAGGCATGCTCCAGCTGGCTTTCTTCCCTGAACTGTGTGCAGGTGTCCCTTGCCACCAGAACTCTTGCTCAATGACCAAAACTCAGGAAAGGAAGATAACATGGTAATTGTCACTATCATCACTCCCGACTTGTTATCTGAACTCCCAGACCCGGTAGATTAGGATAGGGAGGCCCGCTGGCGCGATGCTAATCACCTCCATTAGCAGGGTACTCACTGGTTACAAATTCCCTTAAAAAGAAACATTGTTTCATTACGACAGTGTTTTCAACCTACACATAGGGCCTCTTCATGGTTGAGAAACCAATCGTCATTAGAGGAAAAGACAGAATGAATAGAAAGGAGCCCTGTCCTCTATCACCTGCAAGAAGGCAAATGCCTGTCCTGGTTGTGCAGGGAGCACACAGGTGTCCCCTGGGTGAGGGTTACTGTGTATTTCTGCCTGTGGGGCACTGTCAGGGCTTTGCATCCGCTCACATTCCCCACGGAGGGATCGTTCCTCTCCCTAAGGCAGGTTTGGAGACTGATGCTCACAGAGGTCGCAGTGTAGAGTCCTAGGAATCAGGGTCATGTGAGCTTACTGGCCACCAGCCCCTGGAGCGCAGTGAGACCTCAAAGAGGCGGGAGTGGAGGAGCCCCGAGGCGCCCGGAGGCCCCTGGTCAGGATCTGGAACTCCATCCACTGCCCTGGAGGCTTCTGACCCAGACCCCCCCCTCCCATCACTGTTCTTCAGACAACCTTGAAAGTGGGTCAGGGCTCCCTGCAGGCCTCACTGTGGTCTGTTGTTCTCAATGGTTGATCCACCTAACTTTTTTTTTTTTTTTAAGTTGGTGCCTCTCTTCTGCCATCCCTGCCTTACATAATCTCAAAAATCAGAATTACAGAGGAAGCCTTTTAAGCAGAGTAACCCAAAATGTATTTTTTCCTGTGATTATACCGCAGAGTTTCAGCCGTCTTCAGACACCGCCTCGGTCCCCAGCAGGGCAGGTCGCCGAGTTACACTTTCCTGCAAGGGAGCACTCCCCGGCTGTAGAAAGATGCATCTGCCAAAGGGAGAGGGTTCCCAGTGAAAAGCGGAAGGACAGGGCAGTGGTGTGTATTTGTTTGTAACAAAAGCTCCTATATGTNCAGGGACGGGCGGGGGCCTGCGCGCACCCCCGCCTGACCGCGTCTGCAGGCGGCGCCGGGGAGGGAGGCGGCGCCCGGGGGAGGAAAGGGCGCCTCCTGTGAGCGAGCGAGGAGACCACAGACAGAATCGCTCACGCAGGCCGAGATTGGGGCATTGTCTTGCTTTGAAGGCCCCCAGATTTTATTTTGCTAAAGCTTGCAATTTCCTCTGCCTGTGAGTGGCACTGAAAAACTGTTTGTAATGGAACTTGATTGTATCCAGCTGTCACCAACTGTTCCCTTGCCGCCCAAAAGACAGCTGGCCACGTGCCACGAGGTTCAGGCTTTCACTTCAGAAGAGTGGGGGGGAAACAAAGGGGGGGCCCGGGGGCTCCAGCTCAGAGAAGGCGACGTCAGGGACAGCTGGGGCAGGGAGAATCTCCGAGGTGGTGACATTGATGGGGGAAGGGGTGGCTTTTTAAATTTATCTTTATTGTTGAAAGTATTACAGATGTCCCCCTTTTTTAGGGGGTGGTGTTTTCTGAGCAGAGTCTAAATGCACGGCCACAGACCACGCTCCTAACGCAGCTTTCCCAGTTCTGCTGTTCAACAGACTTCCTGGGTGCCTGGGGTACCGGGCCCTGCCCACTGGGAGGCGCCTAACTGCGGACAGAAAATAGCAGAGAAATACACGTAGAGGGGGAGAAAAAAGTACATAAAGCAGGATCATTTCTAATATCATAAGAGCAAAAAACCCCATAAAGTACATTTCAATGACCCCAACTGTCAGCACGGGTGACGCCTTCATTCAGCAGCAGTCACGAAAAAGCCACTGATTGGTTCAGGGAAACACACCTGAACCAATTACCTGCTCACTGTTTTCGAATTTTTACCTTTTTTTAGTTTTAGAGAGTGTGGTAGGGAAGGAGGGAGAGAGATAGAAACATTGATGTGCGGCCCAGGCTGACAAAACCTGCAATTTTCCACGAGCCCAAATTAAATTCATGTGGACAGTAAATTCCAGTCCCCGCAAAACACAAGCATCTCCACACACCCTCCACCCCAAGCCCGAAGTGGCTGGGCTGCCCCCGCGGGGCAGGAGGGACTGGTGGGCGCTGACCACCCTGCNTTGTTCTCAATGGTTGATCCACCTAACTTTTTTTTTTTTTTAAGTTGGTGCCTCTCTTCTGCCATCCCTGCCTTACATAATCTCAAAAATCAGAATTACAGAGGAAGCCTTTTAAGCAGAGTAACCCAAAATGTATTTTTTCCTGTGATTATACCGCAGAGTTTCAGCCGTCTTCAGACACCGCCTCGGTCCCCAGCAGGGCAGGTCGCCGAGTTACACTTTCCTGCAAGGGAGCACTCCCCGGCTGTAGAAAGATGCATCTGCCAAAGGGAGAGGGTTCCCAGTGAAAAGCGGAAGGACAGGGCAGTGGTGTGTATTTGTTTGTAACAAAAGCTCCTATATGTGTAATACACATTTGTGGGTGAAAAGGGGGTTCTATGGGAAACCACCTCACAGGGTGAACAGATCATAATTTCCTAACTGGGCAGGCCATGGTGGGTAGTCACACCCAGGCTTATAGCTTCTTTAGTAAAAGGGTTTAACAAAGCCCTGCCCGTCCTGGCTGGTGCAGCTCAGGGGTTAGAGTGTCATCCTGGGCACTCAAGGGTCATGGGTTCTATTCCAGTCAGGGCGTGGCCGCGAGGCGACCAATCGATGTCTCTCTCTCCCCTCCCTTCCTCTCTCTCTGGAATCAATGAAAAAAATGTCCTCTGGTGAGAAGTAAAAAAAAAAATCATAATAAAAAAAGAAAGCAAATGATTCCTTTCGTTGCCTCTCTCCCTCTCATCAGGATGAATGAGGCAGTGGGGCGCCAAGCAGTAGGTAGAGCTGGAGGTTCTGGTGAAAAGGGGAGGGACGGGGCTCCCTCCCCACATGAGCACCGACAGGCCCCCCTGGCCCCCTGTGCTGAGGGACAGGTGCGGGAAAGAAGGGCTGGGGGGAAACAGGGAGGAAGCCCGGGCCCTGTGCTGCTGAGGCCACCAGACCTCAGGAAACTACAACATCCTCCGAGGCTCCGAGGACACAGAAGTATTTACAAGCCACTTCCTCCGGGCCCC